AATTTTAGTGTTACTCGTCTCTCTTAGTTTTTCTACAGACATGATATCTATAACAAGTTCAAATACATGAATACTAGATTCTTCTAGATTATCAAGCTTTCAAAATGTGCCTTTGTTCTTCTTTTCTTTGGTCTCAAAATGATTGTTGATGACAGTAGGCAGTCACTGGCCTCGCATGATACATATACTCAGTGAAGCTTTATATATACTATGTCAACTTTTGCCCTATTGGACCGTTTATCATCTTGCAGGACATGATGTTTAAGACGCAATTTTTTACAACTACACCTAGGGGTGTTCACAAAACTATTTAAAACTAAACTTTTTAAATAACTAAACTAAACTAAACTAAAATAAACTAAATTATTTTTTAATAGTTTAAACCAAACTATTAGTTTTAGTGTAGTTTATAAAGTTAAACTATTAAAATTAATAGTTCAGTTCACTAAAATCAAATGCAAACACCGAAGCTGTGAAACACATTCGCGCGGAGACTTCGTACCAGACTATTCGGACTCGCGCACTGAACGCTGAAGCTGTGAAGCACATTCGCGGAGACTTCGTACCAAGACTATCACGTTCGGACTCGCGGAGACGTAGGGTGGGTATTTCAATTTTGCTTCAATCTTCACTTTTCAATGATGGTTCTTCACTTCTTCTGATTCATCTTCACTTTTCACTTTTACTGAGTTATTTGATTTTGACTGAACTATTGGGTGTTTCTATTTGCTCTGCATAAGTAAAGAAAATATTTTTGTTGCTTGCACTCCATGTGTTTGATAATTTGTAGGCAATTTGCTAGACTTCAATTCCCTGCATTATGAGTGATCCAATGGTCTAGTTTAGAAGTAAAGGGTCACATTCATAAACTAGCATCAAACACATTTTAGTTATGGGCATTATAGAATGGATGTTACTATTTTGCTCAGGCATGTTCTCACTTTAACAATCTTTCAGGTATGTGCATGTCAATTGCTTGGTAGATCAATTTAGTTAATATCTATGCCAAGTTTCTAAAGCACATTTGGACTTTAGCTCTGCTAATGTCGAAGTTTGGAATGACTGCGAGAGAATTCACGGCATAAAAGCACTTCAATCAATATATAAACAATCTTGAGATCGATAAAGCACTCTACTAAAGAATTTCAAATAAGGAGTACTTTGTTTATTTTCTCAAGTTTGGATAAGTGATATAGCCATTGAAGTGCTGCAATGCAATACTTAATGTAAGTAAACCTACATTATTTTAAGAAACGGTTTGCTTTGCTAACTAATTTATCTAGAACTACTACAATCCCGAATAACATTTTACTATTCATAGACAATGTTGTTATTATATGATTTAGTTAGCATTGCTTAATCAATCCCCAGCTGTTTCAAATCACATTAGATTCACTAACAGTTGAGAGGACGTTACATAAGGTTAGCTGATATGATGTTACTATTCATAGACAATGTTGTTTTGTTATAAATTTGTATTTTCCATTATTTCTTCCTTATTAGCATCAATTATTTATTATCTAGGAATACTCACATTTCTGCTAGTACACAGAAACTGAGTTCCACACTACCATTTTATCAAAATTCTGCTCAACTTTTTTACTTTGTATCAGTGAGGGAGGGGTGGTGGTGTGATTCAACCGGGTCTTTTTCTATGATTTGGTGTCATGCATTTGAAAAGTGAGGTGCAGTGTGAATCTTGTTTTTGTGTTTTGTTTTGTTTTTGTCTTTTTTCATAAAAAATCCTCACTTGCTCATTGTTTTTGGCTTGTGCAATGGCTTTGGACAAGACTCTTTTTTGGGTTTTCTCCTTGGAAAAAGGGTTTTTCCTTATCTTGTTTTTTCGTGCATCTGAATCTGGAATGACTTAATTCTATGGAGGAGTGGGAATGAAACTCATGCATGGAGCGTTGACAAGGAAGCGTTTTTTTTTCTTTTGGGTTCTGTTTATGAGTATATCTTTTTCCTTTTAACCTTTTCGTGGCTAGTGTTTACACTTTTGAGCCACCTCTTTTTTCTTCACCCATTAACATGTGGTAAAGGCTTAACTGCAAAATTCTGCTTGTATCTTTACTGTTATGCGTTTTTTACTAAATAAAGATGCATGGAACTTCTTGTTACCTTGCACAAGTAGTTATAGTATTTCTATCATGTTTATCTGATAAAGGGTTGATCATTTATTAGCAAAAACTTATTTATTTATTTATTGGTTTGATAGTTGTAAGGGAGAAAAAAATTAAATGGAACCTTCTTTGCCAGAGATGGAACCAGATGCCTCTACCACTAATACTACATTACCACCTCATTCAAGCACATCATTAAGGCGTACTCGATCATTGGTATGGGAGCATTTCACTAAAAATTCTGATGAAGACCATAAGGCGAATTGCAATTATTGTGGTATCTTAATTAAGTACTTGACTGGAACTAGTGCTATGAAGACACATTTAATGAGATGTGATGAAGGTCCAAATAAAAGACTTAAAAGGCAAAGATCAAATTCTTCTTCATCACAAACTGTAGAAGGGCAAGTGAGTGGTGGTGTTCGCTCTTCGCCAAGTTATTTTAAATTTGACCAAGAAATATGCCAAAAGGAGCTTGTGAAGATGTTTGTGGTTGCTGAGTTGCCATTTCGATTTGTGGAGAATGAATCATTTATCAAGTTTTTAAGTGTGTTGCAACCACGATTTAGCGTCCCATCACGCTCTACATTAACCCGTCATATTTTTATACTCTTTAATGAGGAAAGAGAAAATTTGAAGAAATTTCTTTCTATGCATTGTGGGAGAGTTTGTCTTACAACAGACACATGGACATCAATCCAGAACTTGACTTATATGAGTTTGACTGCACACTTTGTTGATAATAATTGGAAGTTGCAAAAGAAAATTTTGAACTTTCGTCAAATCATGGGACATTCAGGAGAGATTATGGCAAAAAATGTTGAGATATGCTTGAATGAATGGGATTTGAATCGGGTTTTTAGTTTAACTGTGGACAATGCTTCATCTAATGACCTTGGGATTCAATACCTGAAAAAGAGGTTGATGTCTTGGCATAGTGTACTTTTGAAGGGGGAGTATATTCATATGCGTTGTTGTGCGCATATTTTGTGTTTAATTGTGAAGGATGGCCTTAAAGAGGTAGATGACTCCATTTTAAGAATTCGTGGTGCAGTCAAGTACATTAGATCCTCACCATCTAGATTGGCTAGATTCAAGGCTTGTGCTGAACAAGAGAAAATTACCTATAAAGGCCTTGTTTGTCTAGATGTTGAAACTAGGTGGAATTCAACTTACTTAATGTTGGAGGCAGCTCTCAAGTATAAAAAAGCATTTGACTTACTTGAAATGCAAGATAATAAATATGTTGAGGATCTCCATAAAGGAAAAGGTGTACCATTAGAATCTGATTGGAATGATGCTCGTTTGCTCTTACCTTTCTTGAAGATGTTTTATGATGCAACGATACGTATTTCTGGTTCTTATCATGTCACTAGTAATATATATATGAAGGAAGTATTTGCAATTGGAAGGAAGATTCGCAAGTATCAAGAGAATAATGATATTTTCATAAGGTCAATGGCTACTCGAATGAGAACTAAATATGACAAATATTGGGGAAGAGCTAATGGAATTAACATTTTGTTACTTATTGCTGTTGTCCTTGATCCTAGGTGTAAATTGGAATATGTTAACCATTTCATTGACTATTTATTTGATGATGATCAGGCAAATGAATTAAAGTTAAAGTTGTCTTCTAGTTTAAGATCACTTTATGAGCAGTACCAAGGTATTGAGGAGGGTTCTCAAAGTAATCACCAAGTAGTACAATTGGATGATGATGATGATGATGATGATGATATCCATGGTATGAGTTTTTATTTACAAACAACTGGGCGTAGATTTGATGCAAAATCTGAGTTGGACAAGTATCTAAAAGAAGATTGTGAGCCTTTCATCAAGTCAGTTGAATTTGATATTTTAAATTGGTGGAAAGTAAACTCAACTAGATTTCCAATCCTTGGAAGTATAGCTCGAGAAGTGTTAGCCATTCCTGTTTCTACAGTAGCATCAGAATCTTCATTTAGTACTGGAGGAAGGGTTCTAGATCCTTATCGAAGTTCTCTTACTCCTAGAATGGTGGAAGCACTAGTTTGCACGCAAGATTGGTTGAAAGGATCATCTTTTTTTGTATTTACTAATGAGGACTTTGAAGAGCTTGAGAAATTAGAGCATGGTAAGTTAATATGAATGTTTTACATATTTTTATTATCTTTTTACAATAACTTTTCAAAATTATGAAATATGTTTATTTTTTATTTTTATTTTTTGCAGAGATATTGTCTCCACAAGAAGGGACTTCATTGACCGCTATTAATCTTGATGATTAACATTAGGTGAATGATTTCATTGCACAAATATTTAATATCTATATCTATATAATGAAAATTTCATAGTGCTCTATTTATTTAGCAAGTTAAATCTATATATTGCATATTAATGTGATAATTTTTTTTAGGTTACAAACTATTTGAATATCAAGAAGCCTTGGACTGTACATGCAAGATTGTAATCAACATGATCAAAGGAAATTCTCTAGCCGTTGGAGGTGCTCTTATTGAAACCACTTCCTATAATCAACTCTTGCTTTATCCACTGCAAAATATTCTTTTGTTTTGTCATTGGTCAACAGATTGGCTTACGACCTTGGACTGTACATGCAAGATTGTAATCAACATGATCAAAGGAAATTCTCTAGAGGAAATTTGAAAGACTAAGATTTGATTGATTTTAAAAAAAAAATGAATGAAAGATCTATCATGGGGACTTTTATCAATGTAATTGAAACCACTTCCTATAATCAACTCTTGCTTTATCCACTGCAAAATATTCTTTTGTTTTGTCATTGGTCAACAGATTGGCTTACGACCTAAATCATCCAAAGAGCTAGGGTTCACATCAATATTA